CTACACTCACCCGGACGATCAGACTACACCTTCAGATCTTAGACTCCATTACAATATTTTCCATCAGTACCATGTCGTTTATGAAGGCCCGTGCCAGTGGCCGTCCAAACCAATCCCAGAACCTGGGATTTGACGGATCTTTCTGAGTGTAAATACCAGTCATAAAACCTGATCGACCAACACCTCTCCTGTTAGGTGCAATCGAAACAAATGTGTTTAAACACTGTTTTCGGCCCTAGCGGCCCACCAAGTCGGAGCTTAGTCTGCCAACTTAGCATGAAGCGACTAGGAGTATCACTACCTCCCCCCTCCCTGGATGGAATGCTTTTCCATTGCAAGGTTACCCCCCCGACTCCACCCTGCCGTATTCATAACTCATTTATTCCTGGGTGGAGAAAGGAACTGTGGAAGTATAGTAATTTTAAAGTGTCCCACGTTCTTTGCCGAAGCATAACAGCAAATTAGGATAGGAGATCGGATTTACTGAATATGAAGACAACCTGTCTAATAAGTCCTGTTCAAGGGGTTTAAGCCGTATCCTTTTTTGAATCCAAGTGTATCGAAAGTTTCACGTTACACAGCTAGAAACTGATTAAAAGAAAAGTTACTAGTATTTATGTTTATTTTTATTTTATTAGCTTCACCACAAAGCAAACAAACAGACAACGGAAAGACTTTGGCAGGAACACCGCAACAGCTGTGGCCAATTACAGCTGACTGTAACCCAGTCTGCAGTCTGCAGTTTCAATTTTCTTCCTAGACTGCATTTTGCGCCCGATCTGCAGTCAAGTAATTCCAAGCAGTTTCAACTCTTTATGAGAGTTACCCATTGGCTGCCCATCTTTACGTGTAAAAGAGTATATTTTTGTAAAAAAGGAATTTAATTATCATCAAAACCCATTCAAACGTAACGTATCTACGACTCATTCACTTTTCTTTGATTGCTTATTCTACTGGTTTCCAAGAGTCAAATATATGCAAAAATTCTTATCCAAAGATTATCCTTTGCCATATGCCCTACAGTCTTGCCTGCCGTATCCACAGAAATATTTGGACTGCTGTCATTATCCTTTCGGACTGCCAAAGAGAACAAAACCCATAAGTCACAACGCGGCATTTTTGTCACGGCGTTCAACGGCGTTTCAGTTAAAATTAAAATTTACACCAGAAGATGGAAAAGATTTAGTTAGGGTGACAGGTATCCCGATAAAAATTCAGCTGTCTAAACGAAGTACAGAGAGACAATGTCCGTTTTGTTTGCTATGAAAATATCGTATGGTCTCGGCGTTATTACCCTCCTAGACAATGGAATTCTAAGTATAGACGATTTTGATAGGTTCATTGATGAAAATACGCAACAAATGTTTATCAGAGATTTAATTCGTATCACTAAGAATCATTTGAACAATATTCGCGCAGAGTCTATCATCGGTATTTTCTCATTCTTGAAAACTAAAAGTGAACAATTATTAACTTTCATGAGATATTTAATCGAGCGAGATTACACCATTCTTAATCACTCGAACTGTTTTCTGAAATATCTTGAATTCGATCATGCACTCCTAGCTGCTCGGAGGTTCCTTTGCCACATCCTCATTTCCTTTTTCACAATAATATCCTCTTAAATTAATGACTGATTCAGTTGGGCATGAAGTGGGTTTGGGAAATGGGCATGTAGTGGGAGATGGGCAGGACGTACAGGCTCTGTTTCTCCAGTCTACGCGGTAAGTATTCCCAGAGCAACACCCTTCGACTGGCTCATCTCTAAGTCGCCCTATAAAGCGCCTTTTCTTAACTTGGGGTAGGAAACGAAGCTTGACTCTTCCAATAATTAGAAGATTGGTGGCAGGATTTGGCGCGTTCCATGTCAAGACTTGCTCCCCTGAGTTCTTAGTGAAGGTGAGTTTCCATGTTGAAAGAACAGTGGGCATTAGTGTTTCAGGATTGGGCGTCACTCTGGTACTGGTATCACAGATGGTGGGAAGATTGTTGCATAAGCCGTATGGATTGGACATTTCTTTCCCATTCGGGCATCGATCAAATCCTTCAGTGTACGTTGTAACGTAGTTGCTGTCGGCTAAAGGAACATTGTACACGACTTCACCTGTTTCAGTAAATGAGCTACCTGCGACAGACTTCAGTTCAACACGGGTTCCTGAATG